TTCTTTCTTTCTTTCTTTCTTTCTTTCTTTCTTTCTTTCTTTCTTTCTTTCTTTCTTTCTTTCTTTCTTTCTTTCTTTCTTTCTTTCTTTCTTTCTTTCTTTCTTTCGTTCTTTCTTTCTTTCTTTCTTTCTTTCTTTCTTTCTTTCCTTCCTTCCTTCCTTCCTTCCTTCCTTCCTTCCTTCCTTCCTTCCTTCCCTCCCTCCCTTCCTTTCTTTCTTTCTTATGTGTGATACTGGGTAGCTCTGTCAGTCCTAAACTGTTCTCTCTAGAGGTCTAGTAAAGATCATTTCTTATTGATCAGTATTCCCTCCCTCCCTCCCTCCCTCTGACCACTCTTCGTCCTTATTGAATGCATTTGTGTTTTTTATTGAATGCAATACTTCGTTTTTTGTTGAATGCAATGCTTCGTTCTTATTGAATGCATTTGGTTTTTTATTGAATGCATTGTATCCATTACTTCTATTCCCTCGTTCCTGAATATTTCACTAGTGCGAACCAAGTATTGAGCTCCATCTAAAACGTTTGTAGGTCAAACGTTCTAAAATTGATAATGGTGTTTATAACAAAGCCGTCATTTCAATTTTATTAGAATAGGTCTCGTTAATTGGTCTTAGTAAAACACTAACGGTTGTGTTAACATCAGCAGGAACATTAACTACATTCCATGAATACTTAATTGACCTCCACTAGGCAATTCCCGTACCTGCATAAAAGTATTCTCGGCGAAATTAGTCATTCTTCAAGAGGTGGTAAACTTTTTAGGACCTCGGACTTTTCTGGAAAAGTCGTTTTGTTTGCCTTTGCGTACATCTCTTTACATCTCCATCTCGCTACTAGCAAGAACCAAGCTCTCAAGTCGATCTTCACCCATGGTTGCTCTCATGTAATTGTTGATAATTTTAACTTTGCTGTGGTGGCATCTTTCGCACGAAAACTATTGTAATTGGAATTGTGGACGTAATACAAATGATTCTGCGAGGGAAAGGCCAGCGTAATCACTTTCACCAAACTTCTTAATATTAATGGAAAGTCAGTAAGGGTTTTTCCACCCTATTTCTTCCATCTCCTGCGTCAAACTGCGAAAGCATACGGACTCCCGGGACAGGGGCGGATCTAGGAGTCGTCAAACCAGTCACGCGACTAACGTAAAAATTGCAAACTTAATTAAAGTCTTAAATATTCGACCAATAGTCCAGTTATTTTTTATCATGCAGCGACACCTTATAATAGTCCAGTCTATTATCATCCAGCGCTAGCAATTAACATTCCAATCGAACTGTAGTCCAGTGATCAAATTTCATACAGCGGCTGAGCCGACGAGCTTAGTCAAGTCAATGAGCAGCTGACATACGCAAAGTCGGTCAGTCAAAAAGTCAAAATCCAGTGTTTTGATTGGTCTAGACGCTTATTGCCATGGAAACAAGCGAGTTTTTGCGATTTTAACTGATCTGTGGGGAGTTCTGACCGATTTACAAAAGTCAGGGGCACCCCATTAGTCGGAATATCATTAATATTTGACGCGTGCTAAAGTCTTTCCGAGAGCGCGCTCATTCGAAGTGTCATGTTAGAGCTCTACGGAAAATTCGGAAATGTCTGCTGCTCCAGTCCTTGTAGTATTCGCGAATTGGTTCAATCCGCATTTGCGGTGAATGATTTAGCTGTCTTACAAGACTGTTGCGCTGATCTTGGGAGGAAAATCGACGCTAAATGTCGGAGAGTTCGATTCAGTGAGCAGTTGCTAGGCGCCATGAGTAGCACGAACTACAGTTTGACTGTTTGAGCAGAAGTATTGTCGCCGAGATCTTTATTCTGAAGTGCAATAAGGTAAATTTAATGTGATATGTAAATTTTATTTCGTTTTAGATTTAGACAGCTTAACAATATTTATAAGCGAACAAGATGCGCGCCATACATATGTTAAATTGTAACTTGAATACGCGTATCTTGATTTAGATTTAGCTATGAGTTTTGATTTACACAACAAATTTGCATATTTCTAATTCTGCGTTTGAAGGACCGTCAGAACTCAGAAGGCTATTAATATGGAGGATAACCTATATAAATGCATTAATGTAGTATACATAGGATATATAGGGTCAGGTTTTATACATGAATGTCAAGCCGACTTTCCAAAGGTCTCTACCTCTCTGAAAGTATCTCAAAAGGAAATAAATGTAAATAACTATGTAATTTGGGCAAAAATTAACTTTAATATTGATATATGTTTATTTGAGTAATATGACACTGTAGTGATTACTATAGTCAAGTGATCAATGACTCAACAAGGCAACAAAAATGAGTGTAGTACTATCATGAGATAGTTAAACATAATACTAGCAATCCGTAATTTGATTAAATGAAACATCTTCCACAATTATCACATTTTTGCAAGTACTTTTCCTTCACTTTTCCCTAAGGAGCGAGTTGTGAGAGTCCGTCAGACTGATAGTCGCTATAATTATCTCCCATTTCCTGAAGTTAATTTTTTGTTGAAGCTGCTTTCAGAGTGATGCAAATTGCGCCAAATTCCGCACCTTTTCTATATTAATTATCATCACTCCAACGAGCTGGATTGAGAATTGTACCAATACTTCACCAAGGTTCAGACAAGGTTCGTCTAACATTTTGTCCGACACGTTTTCACATCTGATGATTTATACGACAAAATTAAAAGACGATTTTGAGACGATTTGTTCGTCTAGACGACTTGTCCGTCTTCTCACGTGAAAATATCCTGAAAACAGACCTACGTTTTGCCCGCCCTAAAATTCACGGGTCGACGAAGAGCGAAACGTAGGTCTGATGAAAATGTTGTCAAACGTGCATGTAAGTCGACCGCCTGGCGGTCGACAAAGCTGATTGGCTAATTTACAGGGAAATGGGTTGTGATTGGTTGGCCGCTAACATCAAAAGATTTGAAAAGATCAAAATAGATTTCAACGGTAAATCAACGCATATAATACGGCATACAGTACAAAATATTTAGAATATTACACTGTATTACAGTGTAATATTCTAAATATTTTGTGATGTCGAACGACAACTAGTCTATCAGTATCTAGCGTCTAAAATTAAAACTAGAGGGGAGTCGGATCAGTACGTGTCAAATACTTCAGCGTTGTGGCTTTCCGTTGTAATATACAATACAATAATTTTTACACGATCTAAGTTTTGCGATTAATCATAATAAAACTGATACAAATATGTGCGCATTCATGATTTACATTTTGATAACATAGCACATACAAAATATTTTATTTTGACTTTAGCATTGTATCGCGATTTCAAAATGTATAAATTGTAAGCGTTGGGATGCAATTCAACAATGGGACATGCAGGGGCGTAGCGTGACCTTTCATGCAACTGGGGGTAACATCTAAGTTTCACCGACTACCACGTGGCACTTGAAGCAAAAGAATCTGTTTTATCCAATGGCCTCATTTTCAATGATGTCAACTACCTAGTCATGTTTTGTGCTTAGTAGGATTGAAAATTACTTTGTTATTGAGTCTAAGAATAGCAAGAAACAAATTCGTCCAGGAAAACATTGGAATATAATCTTTGTCTGCCCTTGACATGCTTTTAAAATAAGTTAACTTGGAAACGAGGGCAAATGATGTTGTGTAAAAGAGAATAATCGATTAATCGGTAAGGTCTATTAAGAATAAAAAGACTAAATGCGAGCGAGCATTGTCGTGGATCATGCAGTACATGCTGCATGCATTATTCCATAGTTGCCAACTTTGACGAAAAACATGCGTGAGATTTTGTTTTGGGGGGTCCACGTCACGAGGCGCCACCATAGTTGGCGCCGAGCGGAAAATTTTTGAAAATATGGAGTCCCTAGATCGGTGGAAATGGCATTTTCAGAGTCTTCTGTACCTTACTGATACACACAAGTTTTGGTAGCTTTTATTTATATTAAACAAAACCATATTGTTGAATACCCACGAGGTTGCATGTAGCGATGTTTTGATTATGTATTTCAGAAGGAAAAAGTTTTACAGTATGTAATTTGACGCAAATAAACAAATAATGAAGTCACTCTTAATAGTTAAAATGTGCAACAAAGCCAACATATATATAAGAACTGGTTGTGTTATTTGCAAAATCCGTGAGATATTAACAAGCTGTGAGTGTGAGCTCACCGTGAGGTTTTAGTAGAATCAGGGGCTGTCATGCTTATGCGTAAATATTTAATATACGTGATCACTGAAGAATTACGTACATTTTGCATGACTTTATTGGAGAACAAGGCACAACATTCATTTAATTTTATTGATTATTAAAAGCCATTTACCAAGGAGCAAAATTCCACTTTAACCGATTTGTTTTACCGACCGCTGTCATGGCTCTTGCCATTACCGAGTAACTTCGCGTTTTACCAACTACCTCACTAAAACTGGGGTGTTACCCCCCCCCCCCCCCCCCCCCCCCCCCCCCCCCC